AGCGCGTGAGGGGAGAAAAGGGCGGGAAGCGGCAGCGGCGCAAGGGGCGATGGCCCTGACGGTCGCTGCGGGGCGCCGGGCCGGTCCCAGCGGCCGCCTGTGCCGCACTCTCTCCTTGGTGGTCAGCGGTGCTCGGGGCCCTGGCGGAGCGAGGGCGGTGCCGGCCGAGGTGAGGGGAGCCGTGCGCCCAGCCGTGGCAGCCCCTTTCCCCTGAGGCCGAGGCAGGGGAGCCGCTGGTGCTCCGTCTGTGTGCAGCACAGGCTTCTGTGGTAAAAATGTCCCCCCAGAGCACGCTTTTAGGGTGGAACAACCGTTTGCGCAGCTGTGAAACCCTCCAGGGCAGGGGCTGGCCACAGTCAAAGCGTTCTTTGTGCAGGCGAGCGCTGGGCAGGCAGGGCTTGAGGGCTGGCGGCTGGGTTGGCAGAGCGTGATGGTTGTAGCCGCTGCTGGAGGCCGTGCCGTGGCTGCGCAAGAGGACGCGGGGACAAAGGCAAGGCTGTTTGGGGCAGGGCAGCGACGCTTCACCTCACGGATGGAAGAGGCGCAGAGGGAGGATCGGCACCTCACTCATCTTGTAGCGATAGGACAAGGGGTTTAAACTCAAACAGTAGATCCAGACTAGATCTAAGGAAGAAATTTGTTTACGCTGAGGGTGGTAAAACACCGGACCAGGTTGCCCAGAGAGGTTGGAGATGCCCCATCCCTGGAAACGTTCAAGGTCAGGTTGGACAGGGCTCTGAACAACCTGATCTAGTGGAAGATGTCCCTGGCTATGGCGGGGGGGGGTTGGACTAGGTGATCTTTAAAGGTCCCTTCCAAACCTAAACCGTTCTATGATCTTCCCTGAGCTCCCACGTCCCAAACGCGGTTGGTTACAGGTGCTTAAAAACTGAGCAGGGACGATGACGCTTGGCCCAGCTGGCGTTTGAGCATTGTGAAAAATACCGACCCAAGGAGACAGCGCTGTCCCTCTGGGCGTCACCTGACTGTTCTGCCTCTCTCGGAGGCACCATCGTTTCCCACCAGCCGTCTGCCTTTTGGTGGGCGAGAAGCGAGTTGCTGGCTGGCGTTGTGTAGGCGCTGCTGAATGTGGCTGCTGTTGGAGGGATCTCTCAGCATCTCCCATGCATGTATTAACGAAAAGCTCTTCCACTGCGGCAGGTGTGGTCTCAAGGCGGTTGCCTTTCTGCATCGCTCCACGGGCAGCTCAGCGAGATGAGTGGGGGGTCTCTGTGTTGAAGCTTAGGAAGTCCTGGCCCAGGAGGGACCAGACACGGAAACTGTAAGTGAGGAGCAAAACCTTGCATGCAAGGGACAGGCTGGGCCAGAGGGTGGCAACGTGATGGGGAGGTGGCCTTGGTTCCAGTGGGTCTGGGTGGAAATGAATTTTCAGGGAGCTTTCAAGAGCCACATGTACCGTCGGGCTCTCTCGAAACGAAGGGCGCTGTGGCAGAGGATAGATGCAAATCGAAGCTACCGGGACCCCGTGACTCCTGCCGTGCTGCCTTGCCTGCGCTCACCACGCACCGATTTGCCAGAGACTGCTCCAGCGCTACGCTTTGGAGCGGACTTGGGCCTGTCCTTGGGTGGGGGTGGTACCACCCTGGGCAGGGCCGGGGGAAGGAGAAGGTGCCTGGCGCTGCTCCGTGCCCCTTGCAGGCAGGGCAAAGGGCTGCTGAGTCCAAAGGGCCTGTACTGGTCCTGACGCATGCCAGGGCTGCTGCGCTGCCACCCTGCCCTGCTTCCCAGCATTGCGTTCCTGCCCCCGGCACTGTGGTGTCAGTGGCGTGGGGTGCGCTTTGGGAAGGGCCCAGGGCCAGGACCCCTGAAAGGTTCTTCCCCCGTGTGGGGTAAATCTGCTGCTTGCAGCTCTCCTCTGCAGTGTCTGTGGGGTTGGGGACAGCTCCCACCTCAGCGTCGTGCTTGTCCTTGCTCCGCTCCGGGGTGGGAGCCCAGACCCAGCTCTGGGGCGCAGGGCAGATCAAGGGTAGGGGGGAGACTTCTCTTGCTTGCCCTACTCTCGTGTGCCAGTCACCCTCCTGCTTCCTGCAGCTGCAGTTGTTTAGCTCAAACACCTAAAAAGGGGTGTTTG